GGCACGGGACAGACGTAGGAAGGAAAACATGGATGGTATCAGACGACTGACTGGTGGTGAATATGAGTTGGGTGATGATGCGGCGGATGACGAGGATACAGATGACGACGAGGCGGATGAAGGCGAGGATACACATGACGACGAGGCGGGTGATGACGAGGCGGGTGATGACGAGGCGGCGGATGGCGACGGGGCGGATGACGATGAGACGGCTGGTGGTGATGGTGATAAAACGGACGAGGAGGAGTCAGGTGGCAGGGAAGGTGATGGAGCTGATGAGGGTGAAATTCGTAAGAAGTCAGCTGTGTACTTGCATTTGTTATCTCGTCCCGATTGTTTGAGTGTGTATGATGATTCCCACTTCTCTGTACTGTGTCGTGCCCGTTATGTCCAGCAGTTGAAGGTCCTTGAAGCTGTTTGTATTCGTACGCATAAGCCCGATTTGTGTAAGCAAAAAGAACATGTTTAGCACTTAGGTTATTTTCGTGAGTTTGCACCCCGTGTTCATGAGTTGTTTCTGCACTGTTCATGCCCGTTTGTCACACTTACTCTTTATTTTAGTTCTCACTTTTTGTAATACTTACCACAAGTTACCCGTCATGTGTCACACTTCTTTGGATTTTTAACCTTTGTTTTTCCCTTGATCTCTTTAGTTCCGTATTTCCACTGATGATCGGAGCGTGAAAATCGATTTTGGAAACACACAAACCCAAACCTTGAACAAATTGTATTTGTCTCATAAGTTGCACAACAGTCAAGCAGATCATCCAAGAAGGACGGGTTGGTAATTTGCCACCTTGAAACGACTACAAGAATGGCGAACAGACCTCATTTTTAGCTTCAATTAGGAAAATTTAGGATGAGTCTTGGTTTGAAATTTTGACAAAGTCTGGCCCCTGGCACCAGCGATCACCGGCGCGAACGGTTCACACACTGCTCCGTCATCGACTACCTAGACAGCTCATTACTTGCAGCACAGCAACTCGGTGACCATGTAGTCATTGCAGGGGACTTTAATGTCCACAATTCCGCCTGGCTCAAAAGTAGTAAAACAACATTAGCTGGCCTTGCACTGGAGGATCTAGCATCTGCTTATTGCCTCACGCAGCATATCACGGATCCCACAAGAGGTGATGCCATTCTAGACCTTGTCCTTTCAGACTTGCCTGGACATGTGAGCACTTCTATCTGTAAGCCCCTTGGACGCTCTGACCATGCGGTCATCACCGCAGACTTCTTGACAGTTTCTCCCTCAGAGGAGGAGAGCTCTACTAGAACAGTATGGCGCTACAACAAAGCCGATTGGTCGAGACTGAGGGCACACTTCAGATCCGTAGATTGGCTGCAAGTCACTGCTCCCCATACCGATTGCAACAAGGTCTGGGATGTCATCTCAGAGACAATTCTAGTGGGCATGCACCGATTTATCCCGTGCAAGCAATACACTACAGCACCCTCTGACCCTCCATGGTGGAACCCAGAGTGTCTGGACGCAGTAGTCCTCAAGGAACAGGCCTGGCGGCGCTGGAGGAGATTTCCATCTTCTGAGCCTCTGAAGCAAACATTTTTACAATCAGTCAACCATGCCTCAACTGTGATGGACACGGCCCGCCTAGCTTGGGAACGGCGTGTCCAGGCTAAGCTCTGTGCGGGTAATCTGCGTGACAAACAGTGGTGGTCGGTGATGAAATCAGTCGCTGGTGTTAAGCGCTCCTCTGATATCCCAACCCTGATTGATGCACATGGGCAGGAATGCGCAACCAACCTGGCAAAGGCAAACTGCTTTGGATCATTCTTTTCCAAGAAATGCAGTCTTGCCTCCGACATATCAGTGGACAGCCTGCCTGCTGCCTCTGGCGACAGTGAAACTCCATCAGTCACAAGGATCCATTTCCGGGCTGACACAGTACGACGACATCTGGCAAGACTCGACTCCTCCAAAGCCACTGGACCGGACAATATCCCAGCTAGGGTACTCAAGGAATGCGCAACTGAGCTTGCGGGGCCCCTAGTACGCCTCTTCTCCCTGTCTTTCAGTACTGGCCACCAACCACAGGCATGGAAGGTTGCCCGAGTAGTTCCAGTATACAAAAAGTCCTCCAAATCCGCTGAAAAGAATTACCGACCAGTCTCGCTGCTTTCTATATGTTCCAAAGTAATGGAGTCCATCATCAACCGGCAGTTAATGAACTTTCTGGAGGGACAAAACCTCCTATCACCAAGGCAATTTGGCTTTCGCCGAGGCCTAGGTCCATCCGATCTACTTACGGGACTACACCACAAGTGGTCGGCCACATCTGGCCTTGGTGGATCTGTGGAGGTGCTTGCTGTCGACATCGCCGGGGCTTTTGACAAAGTCTCCCACACAGGTGTACTGCACAAGTTGCGGAACATCGGTGTGAAGGGCCCCCTCCTGGACTGGCTTAGAGACTACTTAACAGGTCGTTCGCTGGAAGTGGTCATCGGCGGCAGAGCTCCGATCGCTATCCGATCTCTGCAGGAGTGCCACAAGGCAGCATCCTTGGACCGTCCCTGTTCCTAGTATATGTAAATGATGCTGATAGCTGCCTGGCTCCAGGGTCTGAAATGGGAACATTTGCAGACGACACCACGCTGTATGCCTGCGTCAATACACGCGATGATGCCATACACCAAGCTGACAGTCTTCAAGCTTCCGTTAATGCGTTACATGCATGGGGAACAAAGTGGCATGTTAAGTTTGAACCATCCAAGTCGCAGCTCCTACGAATCTCCTGCCATCGACAGCAGCCTTGGCCTGTCCCCGCAATAAACTTTGGAGGGGAGGTCATCCCACAACAGCCACACCTCAAGCTCCTCGGAGTTATGGTTGACTCCAAGCTATCCTTTTCCGCCCATCTCCGGTCAGTTGCTGCCAGGGCAAACTCACGTCTTGGCCTCCTACGTAGAGCTGCTCGTGTTCTGGACTGCCGTGGCATGCTGGCCGTGTATCACGGCTTCGTCCGGCCCCTGCTCGAGTACGCTCCCCTTGTCTGGATGGGAGCTGCTCCCACTAACCTTGAACACCTTAATAGAGTGCAGAGGCGTGCCCTCCACATCCTGGGACCCAACATCTTGCTACAGAGCCTAGAGGCCCGACGGACAGTGGCGGCACTGACTTTCGTCTACAAGCTACTGGGCCAACCAAGTCCTCCTCTGCTGAGATCCATGGTCCCTCCTCTCGTCGTCCACCATGCCGCACCTGTAACCCGGAGACAATGCCAACAGTCTGCTTCACACCCCTACCAACTGGAAAATGTTCTCCCTCCAGGCGCTCCTAACTACCTAAGACGCGCCTTTCCATACAACATCATCAACACCTGGAACGCGCTGCCATCCTCCCTCTTCACCAAACCACCATCTCCAAAGGGCCTACAATCCTTCAAAGCGAACGTCCACTACCATCTTCGCCGAAGCCAGTGGCTTTGGGCCACAGACTCCCTCTAACAGTTCAGAAATATTTCCATCCTGAAGCTCCCCCCCAAGCATTGCATGATGTTCACTGCATCTGAACTGCCTTTGAATCTATTTTTCTCTCTTCTTGTTCTCTCTCCACCCCAACCACCCCCCCCCCCCCCCTCTCTCTCTCTCTCTCTCACTCTCACTCACTCTCTCTCTCTCTCTCTCTCTCTCTCTCTCTCTCTCTCTCTTTCTCCTCATCCATTCTACCTCACCTTCTCTTGTCTTTATAGCACTAAATCACCCCCTTCTTTTAGGCTATGGTGCGCAAGCTCACGTTAACGCCGAGACCATAGGTCGGTGTTGTGGGCTTGCCTCACCAGCACAGGCTTGCTTTGCAGCCCCTACTCTCCCTGCTGTTTTGTCATTGTATACTCTGTTGTCTTATCCCCTTCTGACGAGTAGGTTGTGTACTTAGTAAAAAAAAAACGAACAAAAAACACCACTTTTGGGCAAAATTGTACGGGATCGTTACGTCGCCGGGGCAGATCGCAAGAGTTGGGCACTGTCCAACTTTGCCGGCGGTCCCTTGCGATATTTTACCGTATGATTTTGTTACGACTGCACTGGTTCACATCGCAATGCGCCGGGAGAGGTTGCAAGAGGCCCACGCGCACCTCTGCCAGAAACCTGCTAGTCCAACTCGGCGCCTACCGTGTCCGGGAGATCTTCATCCAGAAGCTCATCTTCCTGGTTTGGCGCTGCCGCTACTCCCGTGCTAGCCC